TCCCTTCCTCCCTCCCTCCCTCTCTCTCTCTGTCTCTCTCTCTCTCTGCCTCTCTCTCTCTCTCTCTCTGCTCCTCCCTTTCTCTCTTTCAAAATTAAATAAATGTTAAATAAAAATTTAAAAAGAATTGGTCTTTCTTTTTTCCCCACTAAGTGAGCCTATTCTCTTTCTTACTGCCTTAGGCACTTCCCCATCCCTTCAGTCTAGGACTACTATTCTTATTCTCTCCTTTTTGTTCTTGGATGTTTTTTCAACTAATTCTTCCTTAGGTGGTTTTAAATTTTAAGGCAGTAATTCTCAAACTTTTAACAGAAAAGTGCCCGTAAGAGTTAGGTAAAATATTTCTCCTGGCTTGTCTAGCAGGTCTAACCTAAGAAAGCTCCCTATCTTTGAAATGTTGTATGTCTCGGGGCACCTGGATGGTTCAGTCAGTTAAGCATCCTGATTTTGGCTCAGGTCATGATCTCATGATTTATGAGTTTGAGTCCTGCATTAGGATTGGGATTTTCTCTCTCTTCCTCTCTCTCCGCCTGTCCCCAGCTTGCTCTCTCTCCCTCTCTCTCTCAAATTTTAAAAGAAAAATACGATGTTGTATGTATCACAAAAACTTACGCAAAGTGTGCAGTTTGCTGTATTATTTTTGTACTGTATTATATTTTGCTTTAATTTCATCACCACTTAAGTTTCCTAAAACTGGTCTACCTTGAAACTTTGCCTCCGACACACCACTCTACAAGTTGCAATGTAAATATTCCATGCAAAAGATTATATATGTCATGATTTCCTTTACATAAAGTTAACTAAAATTAAAAAAAAAAATACTTTCAAGGAATACATTAAAAATGTCACAAAACCATATAAAAACAAATGCAAATAAATGAACCCAGGATCCAGAATAATCATTTGCTTGGGTGGGGAAAAGGGGAACATGGCAGGACCAGGTGGTTAGATAGGGGTTATTATTAACATCCTGCCTTTTGTTTTAGGCAGTAATCTTAAAGGTGCATATAACTACAATTTTAAAAATTACTATTAGAATAAAAGCTGAGTAACTACATAAAAACAGGCCATACAATATTCAGAGTATAGAAAGTACCACAGATTGCTATGAATCCAATGGGGAGAGAAAATTTTTTTTTTAGTTTTTAAAAGGCTCAATTTGGGAAGCATGAGCTTATCGTGTAACCTTCCTTGGCTCTTAACCTCCAAATATATGTTCAACAATTTTATTTTTTATTTTTATTTTAAAAAAAATTTTTTTTTCAACGTTTATTTATTTTTGGGACAGAGAGAGACAGAGCATGAACGGGCGAGGGGCAGAGAGAGAGGGAGACACAGAATCGGAAACAGGCTCCAGGCTCTGAGCCATCAGCCCAGAGCCCGACGCGGGGCTCGAACTCACAGACCGCGAGATCGTGACCTGGCTGAAGTCGGACGCTTAACCGACTGCGCCACCCAGGCGCCCCTGTTCAACAATTTTAAATGACAAAAAGGAAAATTATTTTCTGTTATTCTACTCTTGTCCCAAGTGTCTCAATCCTTCACATGCTTCTCCTCCTCTCCCACAGTGAGCTTTGAAATTTAGAAGGATTTTTTAACTGTCCTTAACATTTCCTTCTTCAGGATTACACATTCACTACCACCTTGCAATCTTCCTGTTTTTTTATTCACTTGTCCAATCATTCAATCAGTATTTAAGAGTTATAATGAGCCAGGCTCTACAGTAGGTAATAGTACCACAGAGAGTAAGTAGTGGTATAAATATGAGTTATTGGATCAGCTCTCAAGGAGACTAAAGTCTAGGCAGATACCACTAACAAACACAATAAAAAAAGACAACAGAGTAACATGCAAAACTGGCACAAGGCAGGGAGGGCTGTGCTGATGTAAACTGAAACAGCCCTTTGCTGAGAATAAAGGTTGGAAAGGAGGAGGGAGGCTTAAAATAGAACAACAGACTGTTGAGAGGGCCACAGCACAGGTTCAGAGCACAGGATACAAAGGAATGTGATAAGAGACAAAGCTACAAAGACAGCCTAAAAAAACAAAGAGGTCTGGATTTTAGCTTGTTTGAAAACTCAGTCCTCCTTTCGAAAAAGGGCTGCCCATACAATTACAGAAACACAGAAATTAACTTACGTGCCACTGACTTTTTATGGCAGAGTGCCAAAGCCTACTGATCTGTTCTCAGAATGTTTTTATATCCATCAAATATATAGGATTCCAAATAATTTTATAGACACATCATTCTTAAGGTAGTGAGGCCTAAGTGTGGGCGGTACATAGTTACTCACAGTTCTTCTAGAGAACATGGCAAGGAAGGGGCGGGGAGTAAGTTTATAGCAGAGAATGATGATGGATGCCACACTTCAGCAAGGTGATCAAGGTCAGGAATGGTGATGTCATGTTGATAGTATGTACTCTTAATATGTGATAAAAATGGTACTTCACCTCTCTGGTCTTCCTCTCAAAAACACATTAACCAGTCTAACTAACCATGAGAGAAATATCAGACATATCCCAACTGGGGATCATTCCACAAAATATCTGACTAGCACTCTTCAAAATGGTCAGGGTCATTCAAAAAAGCAAAGTCTCAGAAATTGTCAAAACCAAGGAGACCAAAGGAGCCATGACTAGTAAATGTAATCTAGTACCCTGGATACGGTCCTGGAAAAGAATAAGGACACTAGAGAAAACAGAGGAAATCTCAATAAAGTATGGGCTTTAGTTAAAATACTGTTGCAACTGTTATGACAAAGCTCCTTCTAAACAACTTTTTATTTGAGCAATCAAGCTAAAACTAAACAGCAACACTTCCTAGAGCTCCATTTGGACTAATAACAAGCAGCAACAGCAGGTAACCAAACGGAAAAGGGTAAACCCAGAAGCTCCACACCTTTGTACAAATCTACAAAGTAAGTTTTTGTCTCCATTTTCCAACTATGACACATACAGTCAGCATCCCTTCTAAGGTGGGTGTGTGCACATGCCTGTGTATGGGTTTTAAGCAAACATGTCAACATGTGAGATATCTAGGGCGTATTTTCTTCAATCAATGGCAATTTCTTAGTTTAAGTATTACTAATTGTATTTTCTTAGAACTAGAAGTGCTTATAACGATCTATCCCCTAAGCTTCATTTTCAAGTGAATGCATAACTGGCAAACAAGCTTAAAGCAGACTTTCTAAAAATAATTAACAGTTTTCAATAATTCACCTATCACCATCTTAAAATTTCTTACTTGATGTATGCTACTCTGTGAAATCTATATTCACGCTATGACTCCGTCCCCCCAACATGCCCATCTATCAGGGAATTGTAACTAAATGGATCCGGATCAGTCTGTGCTTAGCAGAGGTGTGATCTTTGACAAACCACTGTGTCCCACTTTAGGCTTGTATTTCAAACCTAGGTTTTGTATTTCAGTTATCACTGGAAATTGATAGTATTAATAAGAGATCCTTGATATGTAAGGACTGAAAGAAAAAAAATGCTCGTAGCATTTTGAGCAAAATGTCAAACATTATTCATGCAATTTCTTTAATTTTGGGTTTTAAGTTATAAATTTTCCCTTAGCAATGTTCACAGAGGGTCTTTTGAAGTATTATTTTTCTATTAGTTTTAGCTGATTCCTTAAATAACAAGAGATTTGCTCTAGAGAAGGATTTTATCTTTCTTTGGAAGAAGCCAAAACCATCTCCATTTAAGGACACATACGCAGCTGCTGCAACACATTTTAGTTACCCATAAGAAAGTGAAGCAGGCTGAGTTCACTCTGCTATGAATATATATATATATATATATATATATATATATATATATATATATATAAAATTAACAGATAACTCCTCCAGAATTACAGAAAAGATTTAAAAATCAGAATTTGCAGGTATGGTGATTTAAGTAAATCAAATATACAGTATAAACAAAAAAGCAGAGTAAACAGGAAAATAATGCATAGCTTTTCAAATGAATTATTTCCCAGCTCTATTCTTAAACTGTTCTAGAAACTTCATATATCATTCCATTTACTAAAATTTCATTTGTATAGTAATTTTCATGGGAACAACTGATGCATTAAATGAGTCAATCCTTTCAGAAAAATTATACAACTTAAATGTCTAACAAAATGCACATCTATTTTCAATAAAGTATCATTAACTAGGATGCCACTGATTAGGAATCTGATTATTTCATTTTTAGCAGAAAGTTACTCTTGACACTGTCTGAGCTTATTAAAATTTAATAATATTTTATGGTAGTTGAATGCAGATGCTAAAAAATCTTCAATTCTGAAATTTGCAAAGTGTAACTTTTCCTGGGGTAATATACATCAGTTTAAATATGATAATTATTGTTCATAAATATACTGTTAAAGCTCTAACTGAAGAAAACACAAATTAAATACATGTATTAGTTCTTATTTTAACTGTATGATAAGCTATTTTTTTAAACTGAAATCAGTAGCCTGGGTTTCTCACACATACTCCATCCCATATACATAGTGGTATGAAGAAAGAAAACTAGACAGTAAAAGGTATAAAATTTCATCCTGTGAAAATGTTTAATTACTGTATGTTAGGAACTAGCATTATGAAACTATAGTATTAGAGCAATAGCAGTAACAACACAATGAAAGTTGTTTGACTTAAGCTAGTAATATTATCACTTATTAAAATTCCTACATATCTATTTTAGTTCCTCAACATTATCACCATTAGTACACAATTATTTCTAAGCCTGAAGATTCATGAATCTTTAAAAGGAGCTTTATACTACTGAAAACTTAGGTTGGTTTTGTTTTGTTTTCCATTTATCTCCCATATACTTTTTAAAAATACAAGCAAAAAAATGTGGCACAAAGTGTTAATGACCTTTCCACACCTAAAGTAAGATAAATGACATTCTAAAAAGTTTGGTTGTGATAAGACTATGGCTAACCAATCATAACTTCAGAATGCTTGTGTGACATCATAAAGACCTCCCTAGAATACTTTTCCTCCTACACCTACTTCAATTGTTCCCAGAAGTCTGGTAACAGAGTCAGAAAACTTTCTAACTAAACACCGATAAGACTTCATACAACTCACAATACTCTCTATATTGTGATCATCACAACAGCCAAGGTAAGAAAAAGATTTCACTGATTTTGGTCATTCTTGCTTTCTAATATTCAAAATTACTTAACTTTTTCAAAACTTAATCATATTTTATAAATTTCAGTTCAAAGGTTAAATAAAATGCTTAATATGACAAAAACCTTAATCTCTAAATAAATGCATATCCGTTGAGCGATAGTAAACAAGATTTAAATTTAAAATAACAAGGGTTGCATCATCTTTGACCCTGGTTACTGGTTTATCATTTTTGACTTTCATTTTTATTTTGCTTTTCAAAAATGAATTTCTGCCAACTAAAATATCTTTCAATTATGTTACCCTACTTGGTGGTACTGGAGATTTTATTTCTTCACGCAAAATCAATGGCTTCATCTTGATATGTTACTGTGCTGAAAATCAGGATAGGACTGGGCTTCTATTTGCATCCGTGATACTATGAACAGTCATGTGATTGTAAAACATGCATATTGCTGGCATGACTATTCCGATATGATGATTCCTTACAGTAGATATTTAATAGAGTTTTAAACAGTATAAAACAACCTACCTTTAAAATGTGTTTAAATACTTTTTCCCTCTCTATAAAGTCCACTAAACTTTTAACAAACACTTCTAAAAAGAATTCTAAGATTTAATAAATTCGGTTACTTATATGAAATCCAGCGTTATATCATGAATAACAAGTTTAGAAAATTTTAAACACCCATCAAAAACACATGTAAAATTAGGGAATACTAATTCAGCATTTTTTTTTAAATAAAGAGACATTACTTTGGCAGAATATTCCTAAGTATCTCATTTGAGTTAATTTGATAAAATGTTTATTCTGCCTATTAATAATGAACATGTTGTTATCAAGTTACCATTCTCCATGGTTTCTCATTATTCTATCCTGCAATCAGAAGGGGGGAATGACAAGGGAGAAAGAAATTTTAAAAATGCCCAAAAATGAAGATGATACAATAAATTTTATGACCTGTTTGAATTCCACTTACTCTTGATATTACCAATCCTCAGTTCAATATACAAAATGTGTCTTCCTTCTTAAATCTCTGCCAGGACACAAAGAGTATTACATCGATTTTATCTAATTTTTATTTTCATATGTATGCCACAAAATAAAATTTACCTCTAGAATTCTAAGTTCTTATGACAAATTAACTCTATTGCTTTTTACAGAAAAGAACTTACAATTCCACAAGCAGAATTCCTTCAGACATGCAAAAACATTTCTAAGTTTTGTCTACCACTGAGGTACTCTAATTGTCTCTCATTATCTTTATACTCATAAAATGTTTTTCCTTTGCTATCATATAAAAGTCACTTGCTGCTGGTGTTTTATACATATATATTTATGCATTTTTACACAAATACCTATCAAATCACATTCTCACACTTCAAATGAGATATTCATGAGTTCTTTTATGATACCAGAATTTCACCATGTCACATATTACTCCAAAAAGTTAATAATTTCTAGAAAGAGCACAAATTCTGCTATTAAAGCTATCCTTAGATTAAAAATGTGTACAGGTTAATAGAAATCACACAGTTACTATGATTGTTGTTCAAATTTCAAACATAAATGCCCTAGTGCCAGACATTTTGTCCCAATTTATCTCTATCATAAGGTGAAATTTAAGTACTGCTTTTATTGCTGAAGACAGGATTTTTAAAACTAAGGGCTAAAAAAAAAAAGTATCAGATGAAATAGGAGAAATATGAAGGATGTTTTTAAATTATGAAAAATGTTTTAAAAACGTGAAAAAGCTAAAGTAAGTTGCTTTACTAAGTCAGTTACTATCATTTCCTAAAACGCAAATATCAAAATGTTTTTGACAGTGGACATAAAGGAAAATAATATTCTAGAAAAAAGTGCATTTGGTTATATATTTTTATATGTTATTTCTTATTCTAATTAATTGGAAATAGAACATCTGTATAAACAAAATATTTGTATAAAAATTCGTAAAAAAATAAACATTGTAATGTATTAAATGTATTATGTCATATATTGTGTAATGTGTTAAATTATTTAACACATTAAATGTTTAAGTAAAAATTAAATGTAAAGATTAGATTAACTCTCTAAGTTAGACTGTATATTTATTGCCAATTCTAGAAATAAAGAGGGTCCATTAAACTTCCTTCTTTATTATTGAACAATCTTCTAAATGTACTGCTGTATACAAATATTTCATTTGATCCTTTTAACTCCCTGTATGTTTGGTGCTGCATCTCTATTTTACAAATTAGGAAACAGATGCAAAAAGGTGAATTACAAGGTCACAAAGCTAGGAAATGGTGGTACCTTGGCAGGAGCCAAAATTTTAGAACTCTAAACCACATGCACATCACATCCACTGATCAACATGGCTTAAAAATACATCATGACATTGGCAAAGCAAAATAAACTAAAAGACTTCAAATACTGTTAATGGTACTCTAAATGTAAAGTTAGAGGACACAAACGTCTATTCCAATTTGAAACCACTCCATTTCACTTAAAGCTATTTTACACATGGGGCATTATACCCTTAAAAACCTATATAATATCCTCCTAATCACTTTTAAAGTCAGGGATATTAGAAAGTTATAGATATCCTTGTTATTAAGCAATAAACCATGGAAGGCAAAACTCAAAATAACTGCACAGGCTTTGAAAACAATGTAACATGCTACAATCAATGTTTCCTTTTATTTAATTTGTTTCATTCCCAAAATATTCATGCCTTTAATCTATTTAGCCTATATACCTAAAAACTAAGTTTAATTTCTCAAAACTTTTCACAAAAACCACAGTTCTGTACTATATTCCAGTTCCAGTATTAAACCCTTACCTTTCCTCAATTTCATTACTGACCTCCTCACACTCTACCATTTAAAGTATTCCACCCTATTTATTGTGAAATGCTTGAAGAGAGGAATCTTGCCTTGTTATTTATGCTATGAAAATGACTCACTTAAATCTACACAGTGAATTAACACTGCTGGTTAGAGCAGCAAAGGAATAAACCTAAAGGTTAAAAATCAAGGAAATAATCTATCTAAATTACAATTATATAAATCAGATAATACATTGTCTCTCTGAACATTTCTAGAAATTGTACTTCAATATTCTTACCCTACATAATTCTGAAGCATGTATTACCAAATAAACACATGAAAATGAAGCCTGGGCCTATGGCTCCACTCAAGTGCATTCACAGTCAACTGAGGACCTCTAGTGCTTTTATAAAAGTACTCCACCTCAAGGACTTACCAAAAAAAAAAAAAAAAAAAAAAAAGACCAATTCACTCAGATTAGTGGGGGTATATTTAACTGGCATTCATTTTTCCTTAAAACTTCCCCCTACACTCCCTTCACACATCTTTTCCCCCAAAAGAAGAATGTGAAGTCTCAACTACTACAGGGTTAAAAAGAATATTTTAACTGTGACTAAATTAATTTTAACATAATAAACAGATAACAAGGACAAGCTTACAGACAAAATAGCAACAGCAATGTGACAGTTTCAAAGAGAAAAATCTCTCTATGCTGTTGTTTAACGGATCTTCCTCAAGGCAGAGCTTTACAGTGATAATGTCATTATGGGGTCAACTTAGAGGTTGAGATTTTTATATTTACACAATTCTTTTCATAACTAGGCAGAAGCAGCCTGAAGATTCTTTAAGATAGCCAGTGTGGAGCAACAAAGTTGTGGAATACTGCTGCCACAAAGTAACTTCAAACAGAACCTCCAAGTTAGGCAATCTCAAACGGAAAAGTATTTCACCAAAGTGAACTTCTGGATGCCAACAGATTGATTATGGTTCTAATGACGAGCTGTCCTGATTTAATTCAACAAGTCAAAAAAATACATACACAATCACTTCCAGATTATCTGTGAAAATGACAGCGAAGAGTAAGACTAAATAAAACCCCCAAATAATCTTAATATACATAGGTCTAATCTTCTGAACCAATTACATGGGAAAAATTCTTAGAAAGTATCTGTCAGACTATAGTGTTGGAATACTTGAATTTACTGGGAAAATATGCACAGATTTACTAAAAGAATAAGCAGCCAAAAAGGAAGGAAAATTCTGAATTCCACAAATATAAAGAATCTCAGGAATTTATGGTTTCAGCAGAGAAAGCACCCCCAAACAAATGAAGTTCAGAAAGTCATGCAAAACACTGAGGATGAAGATTACTGCTTACCATACACAGCATTGTTAAGGCTTCAATGTCCTAGCAAGTAATAAAGCAGACCACTAAAAGTTTTCCAAAGTCTACTGAGACTGAGGATTGTTTTGCACAAGAATGTATCTCATATATTAAGAAACAGGAACACTACAAAGTTAGGACCCCTGCAGAAGCTGACACAGTACCTTCCATCCAAAATGTTGCCTACCATGGCATATTAGTTGAAAGATTAGCATCCCATGTGGTTTGTCTCTTTCCTTTTTCTACTTCAAAGAAACAGAGTATTATCTTGAACCTGACAGTATTTACTTCTCAATTTCACTTTTTTGAGCAAATCAGGAAAAGTGGACAACCAAAAACTTTATAAATCCTACAAAGAATAGTAGAGTTATTCTTCCCATTCCTCTAAAAATTAGAATAGATCCCACAGACATACAACAAAATACTCTGTGGGTAATCTTCTGTCAAAAACTCCTATCAAAGAGTATTTCATAGTTTGAATATTCTGATTCTAGGGCCTGGGTGATGAATTAACTTTTAAAGTGTTCTATTCCTGCTGTCCCAAACAACTAATCTACACATTTCTTTTAAAAAGGGGAGCAGGGCTAATTTCTATCTCCATTGCTACTGGTGCCAGATGCAAGTTCACAACTTCCCAATACAATCTCTTTCTGATTATCCTAAATTAATGAAACTACTTTTTCTATGCCTTCCATCAAGTATTACTCTATTACCAGCTAAGGAATGGAGGGGTAAAAAAGACTGTAGGAGTTCTAACCTCATAGGATGTTGTGAGTGCAGAGAAATGAATGGTAAACACCTGACAACCATGTCATAAATTATGATGCACGGAAGGTCACAGACAACTCTAAAGATAGGATTGTTCTGTTGCTACACAGCTTTTCAATTTTCAATGTGCGACAGGAAGAACCATCTTATAGGGATGACTTCTGGGTTAATTATCATCATACATATTTTGGAAGTTCAGTAGAATCAGGACTCAACACACTTCAGGTTGTGCACTGGGAAATAAATCAGGCCCAATAAACTGAAGGCATACAACTAACATTTCAGTATATAAAGCAGATTTGGTTTTGGTTTTAGCATAAGATTCTAAGCAGCTACAAATTAGTTTAGAATAACGACATTTCTAAGTTTGACAGGAAACGACACTATTTTTGATTATTGGCTTTACACTCAATTTGTTTTCAGGAACATAGCTGCCTGTTGCCATGATATCATCTTTAAAGTGTATTCATCAAACTTTCATCAGAAGAGTTCATCTTTCTAGGGCCTGTTTATATTTCACAAACACCAAATACCCATCTGAACAAAGCCTCGTTCAGGTTAATGTTAATATTAACAACAACTTACGTAAGCTGTAATCCTCTGAGCTTCATTTCCTTCACCTGTAATAGAGACTTGAGAAGAATATTGGAGATTATGTGTTCAACTATCAAATTCTGTTATTCTAACTGGTTAATCTGTTAGCCACAGCACTAGAAAATTAACAATCTTCTGGAAACAGTAAAGTAAATCATAAGAATTCCTTGTTCAACTTCATTGATTTATTCAAATAGTAACAATCATGCACTGCATACTAGAACACAAAATAAACATGTGGTTCCTTATACTCATGAACTAGAAGCCTACTTGTGGGCAAGGACATGTAAATAAAAATTGTAGCACTGTTGAAATAGGTAATACTAAAACCCAACTGAAAACCAGCAGAGGTGACAACCAATTTTACCTTAATGAGTAATGGAAAGTTTCATTAGGAAGTGATATTTAAACTGGGCCTTAAGGATCAACTGAAGTTTGCCTGGCAAAGAATCAAAGGTAGACCGGGCGCCCCCCCCCGCCCGCGGGGGGTAGACATTCCAGGCAAAGCCAGAACAACATGTGCAAAAGACAGAATCAAAAAAGGCAATGAAGTATTTATGGAAAGGTGACATGTTTCATGTGACTGAAGTACCACTCATCAAAGTGTCAGGGTAGGGAATGACTCGTGTATACACATTTCGTGAGGAACAACTACACAGCTTCCTCCTTTTCCATGTTTTATCTCAAAATAATTTACATTCAGAATTTTTAGACCATTTAAGTTGTGGGACTTCACAGAAATGTAAGTTCAAATAGGGATGACCAATGTTAGTTCGCATTCCTTTCTTAACTATTCTGTTATATATCCTCTTACAAACTAGTCAAATACATAAAAAAATTAATAATGGGATCCTCCCCACCATTACCCAATAGTATAAATTCATTATATCTATAACACACAAATAAATATAAGCAGGAAAAAACTTTAAAAATTCATTTTCTTTAAAAAAAAAAAAGCTTTTATTCCTATAGTATTTTATCTGAGGAATTCAAACAAAAGTAATTAAATTAAATAAACATATTTAAGCTGCTCTAAAATCTACTAAGTAGAGGGGTGTTATAAATTAACAGCCACTGGTGTGGGACAGTGAGGAATATATGCTACAAACATACATATGCCAGAGAAACACAGGCTGTAACCAAGTCTTTAAGAGAATGAAGTTTGATGTTAGTAAGTTGTTTGGATCTCCTCACTACATACCAATACCAGAAAGGACGCCAGAGCCTACAGCCAAATGAAAACCCAGTCTAATATATGATTCAAACCTAACAGAGCTAAGATGAGGTACCAGAACTACAGAATGTAACCATATACCACACGGTGTTTTGGGAACACGAAATGCCTCCTTCTCCCTGATCATGCCTAAAATATATATTCCCCTCTCCCATTCTTTTAGTTCTCCCCTCTGCTCTCTTCAGCACTGGTCTCTCTCAGAAACGGAGCTTACTGGTTGAACTGGGTTTTCACATGATGTATACAGATTAGGGAGATAACGAAACCTGGAAGCTGGGGAAGGTGGTAATATCTTGATCAACAGCTACATAACAACAAATGTTAACAGCCATGACCTCTGGGCAGTTGATTATGGTTATATTTTATTCAATTTCTAATTGTTCTTGTTTCAAAATTTATATAGAAATATCCTAATTGACAATAAAATAACCCCAAATCTTTGTAAACTATTATCTCCAGACATTCAATTTATAATTTCTAATCTCTAATTTTTCTATAATAATGCATTAAGTTTTATTTTGTCTCATTAATTACCACAATTAATTAGGCAGAAACTAATCAATTAATTAGGCAGAATAATTTATGGAAGCTCTGAAAAAAAGCAAACGGAAACCACTGCTCTTGAGTACAGGCCATTTCTAAATAACAACTACGTAGGGGCACCTGGGTGGCTCAGTTGGTTAAGCGTCCGTCTTCAGCTCAGGTCACGATCTCACGGTCGTGGGTTCAAGCCCCACATCAGGCTCTGTGCTGACAGCTCAGAGCCTGGAGCCTCCTTCAGATTCTCTCTCTCTCTCTCTCTCTCTCTCTCTCTCTCTGTCCCTCCCCGCTTGCACTCTGTCTCTCTCTCAAAAATAAACATTAAAAAAAATTTTTTTTTAATAAGAACTGTGTACACAGTGAGATAGTGATGGTTTCATTACTATGCCTTCTGAGCCTGACAGTCTTCAGTATTTAATATCGTCTTGTTAAAACGTAACTCAAGACAGCATATGCTACAAAACTATAAAATCATAAAAAGGAATGACAAACATTTGAATCTATAGTTCTGATAAAAGACTTCTCATTTAACTATTTTATTTTGGACTAAAATCAACATCTGGAAAATAATTTATTGTATGCATTTCTTTTTATCAGATTTTCTCTGAAGCTATCAATGCACTAATATTCACAACAATAATGCTCTCAGAGAAATAGTCTTAATAAAACTATGTATGTGAGAACTTTTGCTCAAGGGAATAGTGGAAAATGAGCTGCACCCTAAACCTAACTGTACTGCTAGTCATTTTGAGAGGACGAGGCAAAAACTGCAGTCGTTAACACTCCGAACACAAGACGAATGAGATCACGGTGACCCTACCAAAAAAGACACACACTTAGGACAGATATAGGGAAACACGTATGTGCGTGTGTGTGTATGCATGAATATTTGATGTCATATCAATATGTACATATTTGATGTCATAAATACAAATAACAATGAAGAAGATGAATAACAAAATTGTGTTTTTACCTGTTCAGAGAATAGGTTACACATATGATCCTAATCCATTCACTATTTTATCATTTCAGGCTACCTAACAGAAGACAGTGATTGAGCTCACAACTGGCTGCTAGCTTTTACCTTCCTCTTCACCATTTAAAACTTCAGACTTCCTGCTTTCCTTGCATCATGGAGAAAGTCCAATACCTCACTCGCTCTGCTATAAGAAGAGCTTCAACCATTGAAATGCCTCAACAAGCACGTCAAAATCTCCAGAACCTATTTATAAATTTCTGTCTCATTTTAATATGTCTCTTGTTGATCTGCATCATTGTGATGCTTCTCTGAAGTTCTGCTGCAATCCCCAGTGATGCAACTTGTCACCAACAGCATAAAGTCTGTCATCCCATGAAGAACGGGAAATACTACATACCAGACCACTTCCTAAGTAGAAGAATTTCTTTGTGAAAAGGTCAAGATTCAGAACAAAACAATTGTTAGCAAATGTATTCATCTGTGGGATCTTGTAAACATGAAAGGAGCTTTATTTTCAAAAATTAACTTCAAAATGACTATAAGTGTGTATAATGTAACTATCAAATTCCTTTACAGAGCTTGTAAGTTTCTATCCCAAATTTCTTCTGAGGATGAACTAGAAGTTTAGTTTTGAAACTGCACTGTTAACCCGTTCACTTCACCTATAAAGCATTAGCTTCACTTTTTGGGGTAAATGTATATTGTACTGCAAAAGCCTCTCCGATGTTTAAGTATTTTTCAGGTTTTCACCAAGTTTGTACCAAACTAATCACTCAAATGAAGTGTCATCATTTGAAATAGCCTATGAATTCCTCACATCATTTACTTTTGTTATTATCATTCAGAAGTCTTTGTAGTAACTCTCAAAACCTACATTTTAAAACAGAAATTGTATTCTTTCTCTACACTACACTAACATTTTTAAGCTTTATGAAAAACAAATATGAAAAGGCAAGGCCATACGCTTACATAAATAAAATTTCTCTTATTTTTTTCAAAGAATTACAGAATTCTAATATACATAGGCTAACAATAAATCTGTCCTCTCTAGTACATTATGATCGTCAGATGAGAACTACTGGTTAATTTAACAGCTGATAGTATAATTAGCCATAATTATTAATACACTACTAGAATCTAACCTTAATTTAAGGCACTATAGTTGATCATCTGAGTATATAACTTACTACACTATGTCTTTTGAATCATGAAAGCTTAACACTTTAGAATGATTTTATAGATTGTCTTCTATTCTAACCTCATACTCAATGTAAGCAAGGAAAATAATTTTTAAAAGAATAAAAGAAAAATATATTATTTAAAGCATTTAAAAAATAAAATTTGGGTTCCCCCAAATTAATTATTTGATCACATTTTGACACAAACTTCTTGTCCTACTGTTTATTAAGAGGATATAGCTATTTTCCTTAATCTATCAACCAGATGGTCAATACCTACCTACTTGGCAGGCCATTCTACCATGCTAAGTTATAAATCCAGCAATGCTAATCTACAATTATTTTCTTGCTGAATACATTTTCAATTTCCCCTGTGATCATTTAAAAATACCTTCCAACTCATAATGGAAGTTAAAAAAAAAGTGGTGTTGGAAAATACACTCACCAAAATGTCATGATTTAAGTAATTTGACTCAGTTTAAATTAGGCCTAAAGTAATTTATACCTATACTGCATAATCCAATAATTTTAGCTTCAACTCAAGACATATTACTAATATAGCAATTACTAAAAGAGTAGAAAACACATAATTTACTGACTTGCCAAAATGAGGTTACTAAAAGAATTTGAAAAGTCAGTATACCAACTCTGGTTTGTAGTACAAGTGCTACTAACAGTGTGGTCTAGGAGACATTGCTTTTTTTCTGGGCATCTGAGAGGTACTGGAGATGGGGAGGGAGACAGTTTTGGTTCACTGATATCTGAGAAAAGAGGAAAAAGGGATCTCATACTGACAGGGAGATTTCTTCAGCAAAGCCTCATCTATGGTCTGGAAATCCCTAACATCAATTAAAAAGAGTATAAATAACAAGCAATACATTTACCTCACTGGTGTCAGTAATTACTTATGAAAAAAGTAACCAAGTTCTATTATTAGCTGCACTGATCTTAAAAATAAGTTGGGGCGCCTGGGTGGCGCAGTCGGTTAAGCGTCCGACTTCAGCCAGGTCACGATCTCGCAGTCCGTGAGTTCGAGCCCCGCGTCGGGCTCTGGGCTGATGGCTCAGAGCCTGGAGCCTGTTTCCGATTCTGTGTCTCCCTCTCTCTCTGCCCCTCCCCCATTCATGCTCTGTCTCTCTCTGTCTCAAAAATAAATAAAACGTTGAAAAAGAAAAAAAAAAAAGTGGAAAATTCGAAATGCCAAATTTTATGCCTTCCATTATATTGTTCTCTCTAACATCAACATCAAACTATAAAATGTGAAGTCATGGGGTTTTTCCTAAGTAAAACAGAAATAAGTTTTTTGTTTTCATTCTGCCCTTAACAGAAATTAAAACTTTTTTCTTGAAAATTACAGAATACTGTAACTCAGACTATAATATAGAACAAAAAGCTATTCTTTAAATGGAACTTATTTATTCTGTTTATCATGATATGTAAAGAGTAAGAAATAATAAAACAATGTATTTAAAATTTTTTAAATATCAAATGTTCTTTCTCCTGTAGAATAAATTCTACTCTTAATTTACAGGGTACTAAAAATGAACCAATTTTTCAATGTTTAATGTTCCTTTTATACTTTAGTTGGTTCAAAATGTTTGTTTAATGTAAACCACCTACAATAAAAAGAACTGTTTTGAACTTGGTGAAATCTCTCTTTAATAAACTCATAATTGATATGACCATAAAACAATCTAATTATAAGTAGTTTTGATCTTGTAGGTTTTCAGTGGCTTTTCTCAAATAAAATAAGATCAAGATTTCCTGATACAGACACAAGAGGGCAGACCTACATAAAGTAATGAATTTCCTATTGTCTAGATTTTTTACTTCTTTTGATTATTTTTTAGACTTCAGGCAAAGTGGGAAAATAATAAATTTTCAGAAAATATTTGCTCTGCTGGTAAGTAAAAGCACAACTTTAAAATGCATAAAATTATATGCCAATACTATGTAGAAAAATTGAAAGGTTAAAGTCAAACACATTACTAATTTACTACAGCATGTATACAAAACCAATTATATGCTTTTTAGCTACCTATTAAATATATCACAATCTCACATCCTATTTAGACTGTCATAGGGTCCACATCTTTCAATGCACAGTTACATTTTTTAACCAATAAAAACAAACAAAAAATTAAAGATAAACAATACAAAAATAAGAAAAAAAGAAAACTTTTTTTCATAGTATGTAATAGAGTACAAAAAACACTCTCATGTTAAAAATAAAACTTTTTCAGGGGCGCCTGGGTGGCTCAGTGAGTTAAGCCTCCAACTTCGGCTCAGGTCATTATCTCACCTATCCTGAGTTTGAGCCCCACATCAGGCTCACTGCTATCAGCACAGAGCCCACTTGCGATCCTGTCTCTCTCTTTCTGCCCCTCGCTGACTCGAGCTCTCTCTGTCAAAATAAATAAATAACTAAATAAACATTTAACAAAAGGGGGTGCCTGGGTGGCTCAGTCAGTTGAGCATCCAACTTCGGCTCAGGTCATGATCTCACAGCTTTTGAGTTCAAGCCCCATGTCGGGCTCTGTGCTGACAGCTCAGAGCCTGGAGCCTGCTTCGTATTCTGTGTCTCGCTCTCTCTCTGCCCCTAACCCACTCACATTCTGTCTCTGTCTTTCTCAAAAATAACCATTAAAAAATAATAATAAAAAAATAAAATAAATAAAACTTTTTCAATCTCTTATCATGTTAAACAAAAACCAAGTCATTTCACTTTAAGTCATTTGATCAAATTTTTATTTACATTTTTGATTTATATAAATTTTCCAGAAAAAATGTTGAAATCATTAGGTGTCAATATCTTGGCTGATCAAGCCCCTGCATGATTTAATTAGGAAGAAAATCCTATCTTCCTCTTTTTAATAATTGCAACCCAGAACTTAGAAACATCCTAGGGAATATAAGAGAAAAAAAGAATAAACAACTTTGTCCATAAAGAGTCCATTTCTTCACTACTACCTGAGAGACGCACTGTGAGCTTATAGGAACCCAATGGATACTGTTTTATACAGAGGTATACAATTTCCATTCCCATCCCATTCCCCTGCTCCCCACAGAAGAAATACAAGAGGGACATAGTAAGGGATACATTCTCTCCAAAGAGAAGACAAGACTTTGTTGTTTGTTTTTCTCTCTATCATAGTCCTTGTAGGGTCAGAGAGATTTGGGGAAGGGTGACAGGAGAGGGACAACATAGTACAGAGAAAAGACCCAAAGACAGTTTGCACATGGAGGTGTATATATATTCTAACTACCTCAAGGCACAGATGGCTTCTCTTCCTTCACAAAGGAAAACGTTTCAGAGTACTATACTACCTGCACTCTGATTTAGCAGGAAATCACGGGAAGCAAGGAACAGCATGAACATTAGACTGGGAGGCTAAGTCAATGATTATCCCTAAGAAGAGCAAAACTTCCGCATTACAATAGTAACGTTTTGAGGGACAAAAGCAGTGGAAAAAAAACCTGTTAAGATCAAATGAGATAAGCTAAAGTTCTATATAAATGTATGGTGGTATTAGATTATGACTCTCAGCCAAATTCCTTTCCATTGTTGTAAAAAGACGGTTTTTTCATGGTGAGAGTTTAGCAGTTGTGCTTGCAAATCATACACATTCTCCCAATTTATCAGATGGGCCAATCCTCATTACGGCTCTTCCCTTTATATAAAAATTAGACTAAAAGGAAGTCAAATTTTTTTAAGTCTTTTAAGAAACAATTAAGATGAGAACTTTCATAATAAAGGCAGCACTTGGAGGCTCCAAGGAGAAGGCACTGAAGACTTCTTCTGTAATAGTCCAAGAAGGGAATAAGAGAAGTGATCATTTAAACATAGCAACTGAAGTGTCTTAAGTGTTTTTTACCTGGTTTCATCTTTCTACTACAAAACGTAAGAGCACTACAAAGAAACCATCCCAAATATGGTTAATCAAAAGGCAGGACATTCCAGGGCGTGTGCAACTTTTGTCCCTTTGTAGCCTGCTTCCTCTACATGTACTAGGGAGAAGATTTAAAAAGAAGTCTGGCTCTACAGTGCACATCCAAGCTCCCTAGCCTCTCTGCACTGCTTCAAGATTGGGAAAAACCTAGTTTACAGCAGAGGTTTCTCTAGGCAGAATGAGTGAATTAGGACTTACTTCTTTCAATTCAATTCATCCAATTTTCTCAGTTACCTTTCTATCATACCTACTAAGTTAGGTTATCACAACCTACTAAAGGTTCAGCACCCTGTGAACTACTACAATTCTGTGCAAAAATACCCGCTGGAAAAGTATATGCCTGATCCCTGTTCTCCTATAATCACAAAGCAGTTGAGAACTAAAATATAACAGGGGCGCCTGGGTGGCTCAGTCAGTTAAGCATCTGACTTCAGCTAAGATCATGATTTCGGGGTTCATGAGCTCAGCCCCCGAGTTAGGCTCTGTGCTGACAGCTCAGAGCCTGGAGCCTGCTTCAGATTCTGTGTCTCCCTCTCTCTGCCCCTCCCAGTCATGTTCTCTGTGTGTGTGTATGTCTCTCTCAAAAATAAAATTAAAAAACTTTTTAATTAAAAAATAAAATAGAATAGTCTTTTAAAAATTACATTTCCTATCTTTCATTCACTTGAACTGATAAATTACAAGTCTAGTTAAGTTGCTCTTTTCTGATTTGTAGTTCAGACATCATAATAATGCTTGTTTGGTTATGTAATTTGAATATACATAATCAAGACTATAAGCAGTCTTGCCCAAAACAAGAGTAAGGAAGGCACAAGGGACGTGTTAAGGATTCTCTTGTGAATGTAGCACAACAGGGTGTGTGTACGTTTTGGGACTATACTCAGATTTGTGAGGTTTCTAGATAAGTGATCTCCTTATCCTTCCATAGAATATATTCCTTTAATCTTTATTATTTTTTATTAGTAGCAGTAATGAATAGTAATTTTAAATGTTTTCTCTAAGGGAAAGTTTGTAATTTCTGACAGAATTAATTTCAGAAAATTACTGTTTCAGTAATACTGTTTCAGAAAATACTGTTAATAAAAAATGGATGATAGAATTTACAGAAAATTCTACAGATAATTGCTTTCCCAGTTAAAATGAGCTGTGGAAATTATCTTGGAATAGAAAACATTTCCAGATCAAAAAAAAATGTACACATTTACATGTTACTTTAGGGGATACACACCCATTTTATTTATATGTGATATTTTATAAAGTGCTTTCCTCAAACTGATTAATAAATCTTGATACCCAACTTAATCTTTTTAAAATAAGCACGCCTCTATTTTATAAACCTAATAGATTTCAAACACCACCAAAACTTTATAAATAACTTTACTTCCACTTTCTCATTTCATAGAAGAAGAATTGAGAAGACATGCACATGGCCAACATATACATGAAAAGGTACTCAACATCACTATCAGCAAAATGCATATCAAAGCCACAATGAGGTTATCACCTCACACCTGTGAGAACAGCGATCAAAAAGACAAGAGATAATAAGTGTTGGTGAAGATATGGAGAGAAAAGAACCCTTGTGTAGTGTTGGTGGGAATGTAAATTTATGCAGCCACTATGGGAAACAGTGTGGGTGGTTCCTCAAAAAATGAAAACTTAAAAAATTCTCCTTCTGGGTATTTATCTGAAAGAAATGGAAACACTAACTCCCCAAAATATATGCACTCCTATGTCCACTACAGCTCTAATTACAACAGCCAAGACATGAAAGCAACCTTAAGTGCTCACTGATGATTGACTGGATAAACAAAATGTGGTACATATACAACACAATATTATTCAGTCATTAAAAAAAAAATTGAATCTTGCCATTTGTGACATGAATGTACCTTAAGGGCATTATGCTAAGTGAATTACGTCAAAGACAAATACCATATGATCTTTTACATGTAGAACCTTAAAAAAAAAAAAAATCACAGATATAGAGAACTGACTGGTGGTTGCCATGGGCGGGGTGAGCAAAATAGGTGAAGGGAATCAAAAGACAAACTTCCAGCTATAAAATACATAAGTCATGAGGATGTGACTTGTACAGCATCATATATACCATGATGACTATAATTAATAATATAGTATTATATATTTGCAAGTTGCTAAGAGAAAATCTTACAAGTTCTCACAAGGGGAAAAAAAATGGAAACTATGCATAGTGAGGGACGTTAACCAGACTTAAATTTATTGTGGTGATAAGGTCACAAAACATACATAGCAGATCATTATGATGTAGAATTGACACTAATGTAATGTTATATGTCAATTATATCTCAAGAAAAAAAAAAGAAGGGAAAAGAAACTAAGACCCAAAGAAATGAAGTATTAAATGACAGGTAGAAAATCATCCAGGTTCTGAATTTGATAGAACCAGAAATAAAATCCAAGACCTCATACTCCAGAATTATTGTTTTTCCAATTATACTGTGCCAGTCCCCATATCTGTTTCAAGTTTCTTTAAATTACGTATATTTTTCTTTATTTTTATGCCCACTTAACAAATGAGAAGGAAAGTGAAAACTAAGTTAGGTACAAGATTTTAAATTTTCCATGTTAATCAGCCTCAAGTCTTTGTTTAACTTTTGTTTATCCAAACAATACTTTGGGAGTTTATACCTTTTATAAACTTGTAGCAACTTTTATAAACTTAGTAACTTGTAGGAAAGAGGAAAAACAAAACCATCTGTGTCTGTGGACACACTGTCATACGCTTACTGCAAGTGTGCTACTGTACTCGTAACATCCACTGGAGGGAAGCAAACACTAGACTTTGAGCCATACCTGCACTGGTGTTTCATTTTCTTGTCGAAACTCTTCAATTTGCTGCTGTTGCCAAGGAGCTAAACTGTAAGAGTCCTCTGTAGTTCTATTTTCCAATGGGTTTGTCCGCAACTGCTCTGTAAGCCACATCTGTGTCCTCACAGAAGGTTGAATGGGGACTCCACCTACTGCCTGTTGACCAAGCAGTAAGTATTTCGGAGGTTCAAAAGCCTCTGCATTTGTCATAATGGGCTTGCTTTCAGGTAAGGCACTGTATGTCATGTCTAAGGTCTGTCTCCTAAGGGTGGAGGAGGAAGCTCTAAAGTCGTCTTTGCTACAGCTCTCAAATTTATATTTGCAGTCCAGAGTTGACGATCGTTTTTTATTTATTTCCTTGTCTTCTAGTTTAAGCATCTCCATACTATCATGTAAGCAGCTAGGCCCAATTGTTCTTAGTTGCGAGGTTAAAACCTTGCCTCTCCCTGTCTTTTCCAAACCACTCCTTGACTCTTCAGTGTGTACAATGCCACCCTGGCTGAAGTTATCCGGGGCAGTGAGTTTGGATAAAGATGACCATTTCCGGAGGGGCCGGAAGTCCTTCATGTCTAGTGAAGAGTCCTGTTCTCCCCTACTGTGGTTTCCCAATGCTTGCATGAGGCTAGTACTCCATTTTGAGCCATCTGACGTCAATGATTCCCTGTGTTTGGAAACTGTAGCGCTGGAGTTAGACGGCATGACATGGGCAGTAGGAAGAGTAACCAACGACCGACTAGGCTTAAAAGATAATGTGCCACTTGAAGTTGAATGATCTGGAAAGAGAAAAGAATGTCAAATTAGTTATAATTAATGGGGGTGGGGGGGAAGGGTCTAAATGTGAAATGCCAAAACAAATATCTGAATATGGTTTCCCAGCACAAGTTTTTCAGAGATACTTTATCAAAATGAGTTTATTATCATTATGTTTACCTGAAATAAACCAAACATACTTTCAAATATTATTTTCTAAAAATGGATACACAATGGAATATATGCCCATTTACTATCTACTTACAGATGACAAAGGACTAGAAAACAGGTTTATAGTCACCTTATTTAATTATTTTTACTTTTTGGGGCGCCTGGGTGGCGCAGTCGGTTGAGCGTCCGACTTCAGCCAGGTCACGATCTCGCGCTCCGTGAGTTCGAGCCCTGCGTCAGGCTCTGGGCTGATGGCTCGGAGCCTGGAGCCTGTTTCCGATTCTGTGTCTCCCTCTCTCTCTGCCCCTCCCCCGTTCATGCTCTGTCTCTCTCTGTCCCAAAAATAAATAAACGTTGAAAAAAATAATAATAATTATTTTTACTTTTTTAAAAGAAAAATCCATCTCCTCACTGAGAGGTCTTATTCATCATCCAGCCCAGAAATAACTTTACCAGAAAATGTATTTTTCATGGTCTTTCCTGAACTGTGGAAATCTATGCCACACTTAAACATTTTAGCACCTGCCCAAACTCTAATTCAAATCAGAAATACGGGTAGGGTGCCTGAGTGGCTTAGTGGGTTAAACGTCCAACTCCTGATTTCGGCTGAGATCATGATTTTGCACTTCATGAGTTCAAGCCCCACACCGGCCTCTGCACTAAAGGCTGGGAGTCTGCTTGGGATTCTCTTTCTTTCCTCCTCCTCCCCCCTCCACTCACATACACTGGCTCTCTCTCTCTCCCTCCCTCAAAATAAATAAACAGTGGAACATAATCAGAAAGCATTCCAGCAATATATTTGTGGATACAGAGTAATTCCTCCATTCCTAGTCTCCCTTAAATGGCATCATCAATGGTATGAGTCCCAAGCTAGAACTCCTGGAGTCTACTTTAGATGGCTATCTTTCTCTGCACATTCACTAAATCCCTAAGTTGTAAGCCTTCACTTCCAAAATGATTACACAGCTATTGCCTTAGGTCAAGCCTTCCTGTGTTATTGTTCTACACACAGTAACAGTTTTAGAGGCTCCATGGAAACCCAAAGCACAAATAAAGACCTCTATATTCCATGAACTTACCATCAAGTTCCAAATTATCATCAAATGTGCCAACTTAAAATTAAAGATTATAAATTTTACCAGAGGAAGTTTCGAAATAGGATAGCAATTGAAAGTATGAAGGGAGAAGAGATGAGTAGTAAAAGGCAACCTTCAGAGTTTATTCTATATTTTCCATATTGTTTGGTACATTAGAGTATATTTACTATTACTTGTTAGCACTGATATTGTTTTAAAGAAATAAAATAATGCAAAAAGAAATGATGAAAAGGTCATAAGAAAATTCACATTAGAAAGAGCTAGGCAGGGGCGCCTGGGTGGTGCAGTCGGTTAAGCGTCCGACTTCAGCCAGGTCACGATCTCGCGGTCCGTGAGTTCGAGCCCCGCGTCGGTCTCTGGGCTGATGGCTCAGAGCCTGGAGCCCGTTTCCGATTCTGTGTCTCCCTCTCTCTCTGCCCCTCCCCTGTTCATGCTCTGTCTCTCTCTGTCCCAAAAATAAATAAACGTTGAAAAAAAAATTAAAAAAAAAAAAAAAGAAAGAGCTAGGCAGACTAATTCAAACAATGAAATTCCAGTAGGTCTTTACACAGAATTTCTTCACTTGGAGATAAAGAAGAAAAAATATTACAGATGGGAGAATACAAGCAAAAGTATTATAGTGAACACTTATTTAACATGTTCAAGCTTTTCATCAGCTTCTGCAGAACCTTTTTATACTCATGAAAATTGCCACATTATTATAAGTCTAATCACACGAAATTAATTTTAGATCTCAAATTCCCAACATATTCTGCAACTATGATGCAGACATTAGAAGCACCAGCACAAGATTTCAGTTTGGAAGGGAGTCACTTAGAAAACAGGCTCCAGATGGACCCACCATTTTTGGCTGGCATAGGCAACAGCAGAGGCATCGGCCTTCCACAATGGGAGCACCACCCCAGAAGGGCAGCAACTGGGCAGCACTGGTGCTTGGTGGGGCTAGAGAAGTGACAGTTCTCAGAAATGATTTGAGGCATATTACCTGTAAGTTTCACCTGAAGCCTGGTTCTCCAGCCTTCCGCCAAAATTCTATGAGGTACCAAACACCCTTAAATAAATTCTTCATCTTCTCAATCAGGTCAGCAAGCTTCTTTTGCTGATTAAGAACACTAACTGATCAGAGTATAAAGCCAGAAGAATGTAATTCCCGAAGTAAATAACAAATTATCCCATCTGTCTGCTGTATGCAGTGTCAAGAAAAGTTGCTCAAAGGAGAAAATTAACATTTAGCGTTAAGTATATTGCTCAAGATCACATAGTAAGGAGGGTCTTTCAGATACTGCAAACCTGTATCTAATACCAGTGGCTGAACACTAGGGTGGCAGGGGTAGACTTCAGTCCTGCCCCCCATACCCAATCTCCCATCAACTCCAATACACAATGTTAAGAAAGAAAAATCTTTTGTTTGTTATGCAAACCTCGTTTCAGATAAATGTACTTGATTCCCTCACTCCCTTTCCAACCAGTCTGACACATCTTAGGTCATACCTATACAGAAATTCTAGAAATGGCAATGCTTTGGATTATGTCCTATTGCATGCAAACAAAATAAAGTGCCATGGAAATCTGAACTTGAACCATTAGATTCAAAGACTAGTATACTACACATTGCATCACAGCCAGTAAACTAAATTTTTTAAACAGAAAAAAAAAAAATTGCTCAATTCCTGAAAGGTAAAGGTGAAACAGTTATGTAAGTCTTCAAATGCCCAGGTAAGGAAAGAGGCTGGCCTTCATTAAGCAAGAAATGTGATACCACTGAAAGTTTCCAAAGGAGTAACATGATCAACACCATACTTAAAATGATTATTCCAATAACACTGTTGAGGATTAAAGCAAAATGATTAGCCACATGAAGATTAACAGATTATTATGGTAATCAATAGAAAAAAGGAAGGGAATATGCTACTAAAGGTCAGTTCTAAATAGAAATAGGACAAACGTCACTAAAAGCCTATGAAATATCTGTATTAATACATTATAGTATTAAATCTGTTTACCAACTATATAATTATGTGTATAGATACATAAACACACACGTTTGTGTCACTATTCCTAAACGAGTATTTGTATTAAAATCATTAAATATCTTTATTTTTTTAAGCTTATTAATTTTTGAGAGAGAGGGAGGAAAAAGGCATGAGCAGGGAGGGGCAGAAACAGAATCTCAAGTAGGCTCCAGGCTGTCAGCACAGAGTCTGAAGTGAGGCTTCCGGGGCTCAATGTTATGAACCATGAGATCTATGACCTGAGCCAAAATCAAGAATCCAATGCTTAACTAACTGAGCCACCCAGGTGTCCTGAATATCTTTAAAACTAAAAAAAAAATTTTTTTTTATTTTCAGTTATTTACATTGAAAAAACTTAGTAAGTAAAGATAAAGTATAAGGTTAAATGTAACAGTTTTAAAACTAGTCTTTTTAGATTCAAATCCTGGCTCTCCCACTCAGTCACATGTGTTCAAACAACTTACTTAACCTCCTTGCATCACAGTCACCTCATCCATAAAGTAGACATGACAACAGTGAAGATTAAAAGAAAAAATTGCACAGAAAGGACTCGGAAGAATTCCCGGTACAAAGCAAAATATTAATTATTATCACATCACTGAAATAGCTAAGTAAACATTATTCCATCATATAACAGACAAAAGAGTAAATATCCATACTATACAAGGAACTCCAATAAATTAAAACAAAACAAAACCTAACAAACCAATTTTAAAACAAGCAAATTAGAAAGCAAATCACAAGAAATAAAAATAAATAATACATGTTAAAAAAAAACCCAGATGTTCAAACTCATTAATAGTTAAAGTGTGTTCCCTATCCTATTCATAAAATTATTAAAGGCTATAATATCCTACAATAATGGAATCATAAATTGCTATAGCATTTGAGAAAAGAGGGGCAATCTGTCTATACATATCAATATTTAAAATATGCCAGCATATAAGTGAATGTATATAAATATGTATCTATTTATGAGCAGAGAAATGGTATGAAAGAATACACCCCAAACTTAACAAAGGTACACCCTTCATCATGGAAAGAGGACATACAATGTCTTATTTTAATTTCTTTTCAAGGAGCATAACTTGACCATTTGGTCAAACTATTGCAAAGATGTTTTGGTTTGTGACCTCAAAGAGTTTAAAATATCTCAAATAACACTGTTACTTAAGTATGAATAATGTATCAGGTGACTGTCTCACTTTCCATGTCACAGCTGAAACCTCTGAGACCAGAGATCACTGCCTTGGCTGTTACTTATATCTGATAATGTGCTACTTTTCTGTCTTCCTGTGCTAGCTCAGTATTTCCCAACTGCATAGAAAATCAACAACTGGTGATAAAAACAAATTCCATATCAGACTAGCATTTACTCCTACAAATCTGAAAAAAATTGATATATACTATTCAAATATTACACAGAGGATAGAATTTATTCCTAAAAGTCACTTATCTGAAGTTCTCAAACTTTAACACACTAAAAGTTACCTGAGATCTCTGAAGCCCTATTCTAAGAGATCCTGATTCAGTTAAGGTAGAGAGGGGACCAGGAAATATTACTGCTCAGTAAGTGATTCTCTGTTCTATTCACTACAACATCATTCCATCTGGGTCTGATTCCAGTTCTGAAGCCTTCAAAGCTTAAATATCCCAACCTCAACCATCACCAGTATCTGAGTTCTAGTGTAAAAACTTACTGACTGTGACTTTCAGAATTCAGTACTGCCAAAACTAAGGATT